CCGTATGTTAACAACCATCACTTTTTGATTTTTGAGACAGGGTCTTTTTAATGTAGCCTTGCCTGTCCTGGATTCCCTATGTAGACCAGGCTGCCCTCAGCCACACAGAAACCTGCCTATCCTGCCTCCTGAGTCCTGGGATTAAAGGCGTGCATCCTTGCAACTGGCCAACCACTGTTCTTTTCACAGTTCTTCCTACCATTTCAACTGCCCTTCTCCTGCCTCCCTTTTTGGCTGCTGTTAGCACCAACATTGAGATGCCCTTAACTCTACCCCAGTGATTCTTTCCTCTTTACCACAAGAGCAAGTTCAACTTTCTCATTTTTTTATCTTCCAACTCAGCCTCCTGCACACCTGTGCATATCTAATTGTCATCATTCATTACGAGCGAACAGGAAGCAGGTCATCTATTTTCTCTCACCTCTATTTCTCCCACTGTGCTAGTTTGTTGTAATAAAACACGGGCCAAAAGCAACTTAGACAGAAATGGGTTTATTGAGCTTACACATCCCAGTCACAGTCCATCACTGAGAGAAGTCGAGGCAGGAACTCAAGGCAGGAACCTGGTGGCAGGAACTGAAACAGAGGCCATAGAGTAGCGGGTCTACCCTTTTGGGGATTGAACAACCTTTCACAGGGGTTGCCTAAGACCATCGATAACGAAGCTAAATACGTTACAATTCGTAACAGTAGCTAAGTTACAGTTATGTGTTAAGGTCCAAAAGAAGCCCCCAAGAAAGACCATCAATCACATATGCAATCAACGTGAGCATTTATTATTTCCAACATGTTGGAGTGGCAAATAGCGACTCCAAAGGGAGGTCGCAAGCTGCTTTTAAGTGGAGTTATGGGAATTGCAGGGAGGAGAGATTAATCTGGTGAAGACTGGTGGAGGAAAGATTAGTCTGGGGGCTGATTGGTGGGAGGCTCCAATGGTTAGGGATCTTCCAGCTACAGGGTAGGGAAAGCTATCTTTAGCTAGCAGAAGGCTGGGGGGGGGGGGCGCTGCTGATTGGTTGCCCCTGACTTGTGATCTTCTGAGAACTGCTTGCTCAGCTCCACCCAGTTCCAGTAAACAGAAAATAAGGTCTGGTCCCTGTCAGGGCTATCAGAAACCTGTCATGGCTCTGGTGTGGCTCCCTGGCCCTCTCATTATAAAGTAGCAATGAAGCTGGGTGGCGGCGGTGGCAGTGTATGCCTTTAATCACAGCATTCGGGAGGCAGAGTCAGGTGGATCTCTGTGAGTTTGAGGCCAGCCTGGGCTACAGAGCGAGATCCAGGAAAGGGGCAAAGCTGCACAGAGAAACCCTATCTCGAAAAACCAAAAAAAAAAAAAAAAAAAAGTAGCAATGAAAATAATTTTATTTTCATTAGGAGTCACCAAAACATGAGGAACTATATAAAAGAGTCTCAGCAATAGGAAAGTTGAGAATCACTGCCATAGAGGAATGATGCTTATTGACTTTCCCTCTATCTCATCCTGGGTTGTTTTTTTTTTTTTTACAGCTTTGGACCACCTATCTAGGGATGGCACCACCCACAGTGGGCTTGCTGGACCCTCCCGCCTCTATTATTATTATTATTATTATTATTATTATTATTATTATTATTATTATTATTTTGGTTTTTCAAGACAGGGTTTCTCTGTAGTTTTGGTGCCTGTCCTAGAACTCGCTCTGTAGACCAGGCTGGCCTCGAACTCACAGAGATCCGCCTGCCTCTGCCTCCCGAGTGCTGGGATTACAGGCGTGCGCCACCACCCGGCGTCGCCTCAGTTATTAAAAGGCCTCACAGACTTGCCTACAGGCCAATGTGATGGAGGCATTTCCTCCATTGAGGTTCCCGCTTCCAGATGACCCTGGCTTGTGTCAAGTTGACAAATAAATAGTAACCAGACACTTGGTGACAGAAATTAAGCAACTCAAAGTTGAAGCATGGCAGCAGTTTGGATTTTAAAACCTCCTCCCTATCTATATACAGGTATAAAGAGGGCTCTTCTTTTACTTGCCTCCTTCCTTTCCTGTCCTGGGCTCCATCACCCCTCATGTTAGTCAGCATTCTCTAAAGGAACAACTGAGAGAATAAACACACACACATGCACACCCCCTCATCATGTATATTGTATATCATTTACGTGTGTGTGTGCATGGTTTATTAGTGTTGGCTTATAGGCTGTGGTCATGGTATCTCTTCACAGCTGTAGAAAAGTAAGATATTCTTCCTTTTACTTTTTACTACTTTGTAAGACATTCCTTCAAGTGTTTTTAGCACCCTTGTAGTACTCCATGGTAAACTCTGAAAGTCTAGCTAAGGAGAGAAAAACCGAAGGTTGTGATGCAGTGTAGCCAACTCTTGACCCCACGGCCTGCTTTCTTTTTTGGATCAGGCTTCTTTTAAAGCTGTTCTGATTACAGGAGCTTGGAGAAGAGTCTCAGAGGATCAAAACATCTTCAGATCTTTCTGACTCCTAGCTCCTAATCTAGTTAACTACTTTAACTTTAAAAGAGAAGTGTAGTGAAGACAGCTGATGCTGGAGAGGATGTGGAGCAAGGGGAACACTTCTCCACTGTTGGTGGGAATGCAAACTTGTGCAGCCACTCTGGAAATCAGTATGGTGGTTTCTCAGAAAATTGGGAACAAGTCTTTCTCAAGACCCAACTATACCACTCTTGGGCATATTCCTAAGGAATGCTCAATCTTACCACAAGGACACGTGCTCAACTATGTTCATATCAGCATTAGTCGTAATAGCCAGAACCTGTAAACAACCTAGATGCCCCTCAACTGAAGAATGGATAAAGAAAATGTGGCACATATACACAATGAAGTATTACTCAGCAGTGAAAAACAATGACATCACGAAATTTGCAGCAAATGGATGGAACTAGAAAATATCATCCTGAGTGAGGTAACCCAGGCTCAGAAGGACAAACAGTATGTACTCACTCATAAGTGGATACTAGATGTGAGGGAAGGGATGGCCAGACTGCAACCCACAGCTCCAGAGAGGCTATCTAACAGGGAAAGACCCTAGGAGGGACACATGGATGACCCAGCGAAAAAGTGGATGAGATCTACAGGAGTGGACTGGGTGTGTGTGGGGTGACAGAGGGCGAGGAGTGGGGAATGAGAACATAGGGAAATGGGAAGGTCAAGCTGGAACAGGGACAGAGTGGGAGGGGAGGGAGGAAGATACCATGATAGATGAGGACATCATGGGAATAGGAAGAGGCAGGGTGCTGGGGAGGCTCTCAGGAATCCACAAGGATGACCCCACCTTGGTCTGCTGGCAGTGGTCCAGAGGGGGTCTGGACCGGTCTACTCTGGTGACCGGTCTAGCGAATAACCTACCTATCATCATAGAGCCTTTGTTCAGTGACTGATGGAGGCAGATGCAGAGATCCATGGCCAGGCACCAGGCTGAGCTCCAGGAATCCAATGGATGAGAGAGAGAAGGGATTCTGCAGGTGGAGGACATCGAGATCATGATGGGAGAATGTGCAGAGATGACCAGCCACACTAGTGGAAGCCCATGAACTGTGGACTGGTGGCTGTGGATCCCCCATGGGACTGGACTAGGCCCTCTGGATATGGAAGACGGTTGTTTGGCTTGAACTGTTTGGGAGGCACCCAGGCAGGGGGATCAAGATCCATCCCTGGTGCATGGGCAGGCTTTTGGGAATCTGAGGCCTGTGGTGTGACACCCTGCGCAGCCTTGGTGCAGTGGGAAGGGGCTTGGACCTGCCTAGGCTCGGTGTGCCAGGCTCTGCTGACTCCCCATGGGAGACCTTGATTTGGGGGATGTGGGGATGTGAGGCGACTTGGGAGAGAGGGCTGGGGGGTGAAAGGAGGGAGGAGGTGGGATCTGTGGGTGGTGTGTGGAGTGAGTAGAAAATTTCTTAATAAAGAAAAATGAAAAAAAAAAGAGAAGTATAGCCTAGAAATGCAAAGACTCAGTTAAAACATTAACTTTGTAGAACTATAACCCCCCAAATAGTAAGTTTTATTGGTTGTTTTTAACAAGAACGCATCAGAACTTCCAAAGGCTGGGTAATCAGATCCTTCATCAGGCCTCTTGGAGGAAGGCAGCTATAGCAAAGTCCCAGATGCTTCTTAAGAGCGCCTGCCTGGACACTGGTGATGCCATTGGTCAGCGATATGACTGGGCCAACTCCTTCAGACGCTGCAGTTTCAAAGGGAAGCTTAGCCAGATGTGATGCTGCATAACTGCCATGTTAATTAGGTGAGCCAAAAGGGGGGCTTTTGATTACTGGACTTCAATACTTTGGTAGCTGGACCTTGGTAGTCAGCCTCCGGAGGAGGCAATGGCCAAATAAGGGAATAAACCTTGGTGGCTAGCTTTAGGAATGTAATCTAATGGTTTTTAGCAAGACAGAGGGCATGGGGAGAAGGGTAAGGTCTGCCAGAGCCATGTTTGCCATGCTCTGGCTGGCTAGAGACCTTCCACGAGCCTTCTCTCTCAACCCTCAATTCTTTCTCCCAGGGATGAAGTGGAGAGTCAGAGAACATGATTGACTAGCCTTTCTGAATCTCAGATTCGTTTCTAAAACGGGGATTATGACACCCATCGCAAAGGACTGTAGTCAGGTAAACCGAGTTGGGTGTCACATATCCCTAATCCCAGCAGATAAGAAGCGTGGGCAGGAAGATCACGAGTTTAAGGCCACCCCAGCAACATAGCCAGTTCGAGAGCCGTGTGGGCCGGAGGAGACCCTGTCAAAAAGAAAACTAAGACAGACAGGCACACAGACAACATAAACAAACCCAACTCCCCCAAAGACCTGCAGAGCTTGGACACGAGCTATTTACAGAATCCCACTTTGGAGGCTCAGCGGCATCAGCGCGGCTGAACTGTCTACGGCTTTTCAAGCCCCATCAAGGTAGCCAATCGGAGAGGAGGATCCATAGGCTCCGCCTTCAGGTGTGCTCGAACGGCATGCTGGGAACTGTAGTGTATGGGGGAGGTCGTTCATCGCGGTGGCTACCCGCTTCCGGTGAGGACACTTGACAGCCAGTTCCCCCGAGGCCGTCGCAGAGGCAGAATCTGGAGTGACTAGAAACGACTTCTCTTTCCCGCGGCCGCCGGGGCCATACCTGAAGCTGGCTACGGGAGCCCTGAGCCCCAGGCTAAGCGATGTGAGCAACGCTGAGGGAGCAGGAAGGGGCGTGGCTTCCGCCTCATAGAGGGGTCCCGCCCCGGTGACGTCACTTCCGTAAACAAAGGGCGCTGTGGAGGCGCCGGTCCCAGGCTGCTGACCCGGGTGGGCGACCCCGGACTCTTGCTGCAGCTGTAGCAGAGGGTTTGGACGCTCTCTGACCCTTTTCAGTTAAGGAGGGGGATCGCAGCCTCTTCCTCCGGTATGTAGTGGGGTGAGGAGGACCCCGCAACCTGCTCCTTCGGGCCCCTCGGCACCCGCTCTGGTCACTGCTGGGTATTGATGGGTCATCACGGATGGGTTGCGGAAGGGAGATGAAGTGCAGTCCAGAGGCCCCCCTCGGTGGTCCTGGTTAGAAGCAAGGCCTCGCGTTCAACCGTGAGCAGTTCGCCCTCTCGGGAACGGTCCCTGGTGCTTGCCCTGCCAAAAGGATTTCAGGTCTCGTGACAGATGTTATCCCCCAGAAATGAGTAGTAAATCACAAGCTTGTTCCCTCGGAGACCATTGGTTTATTTGCGATGCTTTTCGTGTTAACTCTTATTTTTTTTTTCTTTTGTCACCAAATGTGTATTAGCACTCTTAGATTGGAAGGTTAGTGTGTTTGTGTGTATCATGAATTATACAGATAGATCCTCACCTCTTGGAGACCTGCTCGGTCGTCTTTAACCTGCATTGCATGTTAAACAAGTCCCAACTGATTCAAGGGGATTCACGATTGGTATCTGAGATTGATTAGAGACTGGACGTTGGACCCTTTCTCAAGAAAGCCGTCCATTAGATAGCAAAACAAAAACAAAAAACAAAACCTCAACGTTGTCTTTACAATTCCCAAGTAATTCTATTAGTCTTTTAAAATAGTGGTGGCAGGATTAAATTCAACACTCTTTTAAGTTTTAAATTTTATTGGCTGTGTATGAGGGTTTTACCTGCGTGCATACAGTGCCCCTGGAGGCCAGAAGAGGGCATTGGATACCTTGGAACTGAAATTACAGATTGTTGTAAGCCACCTTCTTGGTCCTGGAAATCAAATGAGTCATCTGGAAGAGCAGCCAGTGGCTCCTAACTGCTGAGCTGGCTCTCAAGCCCCACGGTATTTTTTTTTTTAAGACTTGACATTCATAATGCAATTGACAATTTAAAAGAATGAATAGATATTCATATTTCTGACGACTTTGTGATCCATTAATAATTGAATTTAGAAAAATCCAGATCTAAACAGCCAGTCTTGTGGCATATGCCCATCATCCTAGCACTCGGGAGCAGAGGCAGGAGCATCATCACAAGCCAGCATGGCTTACATAGTCATTTCTCAGCCAGCCAGGGACATAGAGCAATACTTTTTCTCAAAAAGAAAAGGTGAGGTGGTACACATTTTTGATGCCTTTAATCCCAACATGCAGGCAACAGAGGCAGATGGATTTCTGGGAGTTCCCAGTCAGCCTAGTCGACAGAGCAAGATCCAGGCCAGTCAGAGCTACATAGTAACACCTTATTTAAAATATAGATAGATAGATAGATAGATAGATAGATAGATAGATAGATAGATAGATAGATAGATAAGATCTGAGTATGGTGGTGCATAGCATACCAATATAATGTACATTACATAAGCCTTCAAGTTGCAGTTTAGATTATTGATGCCCCAATCTACACCTGTTTGAGTCTGGTTTGGAAGGGAGATTGAGAATCCAGCTAAAGCTCCAAGGAAGCTGGGGTTTTGCATGGGTGATTTATTTATATTGGCCACCTTATATAATGGTGGCTTCTTCAGATTAAGGGCTTTGTCTTATTCATTATTGTTTCCCCAGGACTGATGACAGTTCTGGCTTGTGGAGAAGAATCAGTAAATACTTAGAAGATATGTGAATAGAGAAAATTCTAAAAAATTTATTAGACAAAGACCTTTATGTATGGTGTGAGTTCAAGGCCACACTGGGCTACATGAGATTGATCCAGTATAGGAGAGAAAACAGAGCCAGGCAGTGGTGGCATACACCTTTTAACCACAGCACTTGAGATCTCATACCTTTGCTTGGGAAACACACACACCTTTAATCCTAGGAAGTAAAATGACAGGACACAGAAAGGTATATAAAGCATGAGGAAACAGGAACTCACTCTCTTTAGGCTGAGGATTTCATAGAGGTAAGAACTAGTGGTTGGCTGTTCTGCTTCTCTGATCTTTCAGTCTTCACCCTGATATCTGGCTCTGGATTTTTATTAAAAGATCATCTAAGATTTGAACGACGTTTGTGTACATTAGCAAAGTAAATTAGACATAAGGGATTCCTTGTCCTAACTTTAATGCCTTGAAATTCTTGCTCTTTCGGTCTGTGGAATGAGCCTTTGACTCTCTTTACAAAAATATTAGCATATAGCTGTAACCACTATCTTTCAATATTTAGGTCATATGAAGCTGGTGTTGATGCGTCGAAGAACTTAAAACAATGGAAGAGCGGAAAGTGAAGAGGAAGAGCCCCAAGTCTTTCAGTGCCCACTCTACTCAGGTTGTTAATGCCAAAAAAAATGCCATCCCAGCGAGTAAAAGCACAGGCTTTTCAAATCCCACAGCACAGTCAACTTCCCAGCGGCCAAAGTTAAAGAGGTGAGTTCTTTCCTTTGAGGTTTTCACAGTTAAGTGCTATTAAGTAGTTAACTTCTCTATCCAGCCTCGTTTCCTCTCATGGTTTGACTTTTCCCAGTGCTAGAGATTGAGTCCTCACACATGCTGTGCTCTGCCTCTGAGCCACAGTCTCAGCCCAGGCTTTGACTCTTATAGCAGCGACTGCGAGAGTTGCGTTTGAATAAATATTCAGAAAGGTGTTTTTAGCCCCGGAGAGCTCGATCAGTTGGTAAAACTCCCATCCTACAAACCTAAAGGCTTGAGTCTCATCCCTAGAACCCACTTGAAAACACCTGGTAGCTCATTCCTGTTTTCCCAGCCTGGGGAACACAAGAGGATTCCTGGGGCCTGCTGGCCAGACAGTCTAGTTTAGTTGGTGACCTCAAAGAAAGTGCTCCTGGGATAACTCTACGAGCATCCTATGATCTCCACTTGCCTGCACACAAATAGGCACAGCCACACGGCCATGCACACCCTCATGCACAGACACACATGTGCATAAAGGAAACACATTTTAATAAGTGGAGTTTTATAGTGTATGTCTGTCTTCTTCTCTGAGAGGTGTTAACTGATGAAGTTATCTAGTAGATAAATACTTCCAACTTTGAAAGAAAAGAAGTACATTTGCTACACAGACACCTTAAAATCCCTAGTGGATTCTCTCCCAAGTTTAAAGAGAGTATGAGTATTGTGGGGATCTTTTTAAGCTGTACATTCCAGATCAGCAGGAGTGGGGCTTCACATGACCCTTTGTAATAAGCTCACAGGTGAGGTAATGGACAGCACTTGGAGTGTTTCTTATCAAATTGACACAGGCCGGAGTCCTCTGGGAAGCCAGATCTTCAACTGAAGCAATGCCTCCATCAGATTGGCCTGTAGGCAGTTCTGTGGGGCATTTTCTTGATTAGTTATTGATGTGGGAGGGCCCAGTCCACTGTGGGCAGTGCCACCCTTGAGGAGGTGGGTCTGGGTTGTATAAGAAAGCAGGCTGAGCATGCCAGTAAACAGAGTCCCTCCATGGACTGTGCTCCAGTTCCTTCCTGCAGGTTCCTACCTTGAGTTTCTGCCCCACTTCCCTGCACAGTGGACTATGAACTCTAAGCCAGATCAACCCTTTCCTCCCTAGTTGCTTTCTGCCGTGGTCTTCATGACAGTAAGAGGAAGCAAACTAAGACACTGAATGACGTGGTTTAATACCATATAAAATACCCATATAAAAACCACAGGCCAGTGGCTAAAGAGCTTGCTGCACAAGCGTGAGGATCTGAGTTCGGATCCCCAGCATCCAGGTAAAACCCAAGGTGTGACAGTGCACATCTGGATCTCCAGCACCAACGGTGTGGAGATGGGGGTCCCTGGGGCTTGTTGCTGAGCAGTCTAGCCGATGTGGCAAGCTCCAGGTTTGATGAGAGTCTGCCTTGGCTGGCCTAGAACTCACTATGTAGACTAGCCTGGCCTTGAACACATAGGGCGCTCTCTTCTTCCCTTCCTCCAGAGTGCTCAGATTAAAGATGTGCACCACCACTCCAAGTTCCATTTTTTTTTTTTTTAGATTTTCATTTTATTTGTATGGGTGTTTTGTCTTCATGTCTGTTTGTACATGTCTGGAGTCTGAATGTCAGACCGAGGGTGTTGAATCCCCTGGAACTGGAGTTACAGACAGTTGTAAGCTGCCATGTGGGTGCTGGGAATTGAACCCTCATCCTCTGGAAGAGCAGCTAGTGCTTGTAACCACTGAGCCTTCTCTCCAGCCTGAATTCTAAATTGCTTATGAGTTGTTAGTTTCTTTCTTTACCCCACCCCATCCATGCACCCTCCCAGACCCTCATACAAAGGTGTATGTACACATACACATGCCCTATTCATCGTATCCTTGTGAGTATAGTTGTGGGGATGAGGTCTTCATTCATTACTGTGTGAAAATCGAGTCCTGAGTCTCTGTATGTAGAGTACTGAATCCAGAATCTACAGTACTTGTTAAAGGCAACGCCAACGCCTTTGGCTTTTTTTTTTTTTTTTTTTTTTTTTTGGTTTTTCGAGACAGGGTTTCTCTGTGTAGCTTTGCGCCTTTCCTGGAACTCACTTGGTAGCCCAGGCTGGCCTCGAACTCACAGAGATCCGCCTGGCTCTGCCTCCCAAGTGCTGGGATTAAAGGCGTGCGCCACCACCGCCCAGCCGCCTTTGGCTTTTTAACCCTTACTTGGATAGCACCCTTAGAAGTCTGGCTGGCTCTGTGCTGTGTGAACTCCTCTTTCTCTGTTTTTACATAGGAGTATGCATGGCACCATCTCTCTAGTGTCTGAGAGCCCAGTATGTGCAGATGTATGTGATAAGAATTCATCAAAGGGCTCCCAGATCCCTTTCTGTGGAAATAGCAGCCTGATTGAGGCTTGAAGGGTTCATGAGCAGTGGCCTGGCAAGATGCTAGAAAGTGAAGGATCTGATTGTGGGTCTAGGACTCCGATCAGATGGTGAATATGCTTCAAGGAGGCTAATACCATTAGGGGTTGGTTGTTCTGTTTTATTTGAAACAGGGTCTCTCGGGAGCGGGTGGGGGGGGATCCCTCACTGTCCTTAGACTCGATATGTAAATCACGCTGGTCATCCACCTGCCTCTGCCTCCTTCCTCTGCATCAGGATTAAAGGTTTAAATAACTACACCGAAGAAAAAGCAGGGTTTCTGAAGGGTATTGGATTAAGGCAGGCCTTAGCTCTTGAAGGCTTAAATTATCGAGCTGGCATTATTTAGAAATGGATTTGTCTGCCTCGTTGGGAGGAAAAGGAGACCAGGGACCATATACAGGACCAGGTGGGCCATCTGGGAAGATGTGGGGAGCTGTTAGGTCAAGACACAGGATGGTGGCAGTGGCTAAGGAGAACATAGAGAAGTTAGATTATGGTTACTCAGTTGGGCTTCAAAACTGCATGAGGGGCTCTGAGGAGGGTGGCAGGATTCAGAATGTTACCAGGTTCTCGATTCTGGATTTTAAATGTCTTTCTCCTAAGCCCAAGCACGCCTGGCATGCTGTCTTAAGAGCAGAAACCCCAAAAAGACTCACCCAGCTCTAAATAGTTTAAGGATAACATTTAGAAAAGGGAGTATGTGGTGTGTTTTACTGAGAAATGAAATATACAAACTAGGATACTGAAAAGATTTACCAATTTTCTTTTCAATCTAACAAAGTAGCATATTGCATAAAGGTACTAACAAAACTTTTGACATTTCTCAGTGGTTACACTTTATGTATTTGAGATTTTTCACCACCTGTTTTTGTTTGTTGTTGGCTGGAGGTTTCAGGTTTTATTTAGTATTGATTTTCTTGTTTTCAAAAAAAATGTTTGTTTATTTAACTAAGAAGTTACGCGGGAGTTTAATCTAGAACACCCTGAGAGATCTAACGTGGTGAATTGTATCGTCTCTGCAGAGTGATGAAAGAGAAGAACAGACCTCAAGCAGGAGAAGGGAAGGGGGCTCAGTCCACCCCCATCCAGCACTCCTTCCTCACGGACGTCTCCGATGTCCAGGAGATGGAGCGCGGGCTCCTCAGTCTGCTGAATGATTTCCACTCTGGAAAGCTGCAGGCGTTCGGTAAGCCTGCTGGTGTGCTCTTCATGCCTCGGGTTAGGATGTTTGCAGCCTGTGTTCTGGAATGTTTCTTTCTTCCTGTTGTCTGGTTGGTTCTTGTGAGTGCATGTGAAAGCCAGAGGACGACCTTGGGCGTCATTCCTTAGCACCACCCACCCACCTCCCACCTCGTTGTTCGAGGGTCTCTCAAAGAATCCTTTTCTCTTGTTAAAAGGCAAAGGGATGCTGGATGTGGTGACTCAGGCCTGCAATCCCAGTATCTAGAAGGGAGAGGCAGGAGGGTGAGAGGTCCAAGGTCATCCTCAACCACATAGGGAGTTTGAGGCCATTCTGGGCTACCTGAGCCTGTCTCAGGACAAGCATGCCCAGAGAGGGCTGGGTATGTATGTGGCCTTGTTGGTAGTTGGTAGATTGCCTAGTGCTTACAAAGTCCTCTCTTTGACACCCAGCACTACATAAAGCCCAGCATGGGAGCACACAGCTCTAATCCCACTTCTCGGGAAATAGAGGCAGGAGAACCAGACAGTTCAGAGACATCCTCAGCTACACAGTGGCTTTGGAGGCAATGTGGGCTACATGAAACCTCCCTCAAAAACAGATCAGCAAAACACTGAGGGAGAGGGAGAGAAGGGGCCACGAAATATACAGACATAAAATGTAAGAATTTAGATTTTATTGTCATGGAATATAATTTGCTTTCTAAAATTATTGGGGGGATTTTTTAAAGGATGTTTTTGGGGCCAGAGAGATGGCGCAGTGGGTAAGACAGTCAGCCACTCAGCCATGAGGACCTGAGTTTGTACCCAGTACTTGTGTTAAAACGCTGGGCACGGCCAGGTGGTGGCGGCAGCGCACGCCTTTAATCCCAGAACTCAGAGGCAGAGCCAGGTGGGTCTGTGTGAGTTCGAGGCCAGCCTGATCTACAGAGCGAGATCCAGGACAGGCACCAAAACTACACAGAGAAACTCTGTCTCGGAAAAAACAAACAAATAAAAAAACCCCAAAAACTGGGCATGGGCATAAGCAGGCCTGTAACTCCAGAGATATGGGAAGCAGATTTCTGGGGCTCGCTGGCTGTTAGCCTTGGTCCAGGTTCACTGAAAGACCCTGTCTTAAAGGAATAAGGCAGAGTGGTGGGACAGGACACTTGATACCCTCCTGGCCTCTGCATGCCAGTCTGCACAAGTGCATTCCTGCATACTATATAATACCACCACACAAGGGAAGGTTAGCCGAAATGTTAAAGTAGGATTGCTATTATGGGATAAATATCCTGAAGTGCTCATTTAAATTAGGTCCTCAGTCCCTATAGATGGTCTTTTATGCCCCTTCCTTCTTTTGAAGGCAACCTAATCCATTTCTGAAAAAAAAAAACCATATCATATAATTTATCTATTTAAATAATAGGGGAAGTCTTTATCAGCTAAACCAATTTAGGCTTACTGTATTCAATTTGCTTTTAAGTTTGGAAAGTGTCTTACTATGTATGTAGCCTGGCTATCCTGGAGTTCATGATCTTCTGCCTCAGCTTTCCATGCACTGGGAATTTTCCCCTCTTTTGAAGCAGGACCTTGTATTGCTCAGGCTGGCTTTGAACTCGTTGTGTAGCTGAGGATGACCTTGAACTTCTGATTTTCCCGTTGCCACCTGTCTCCCACTGCTAGGATTATAGGCACATGCCCTGACACCCTGTTTATACAGACTGGGAGTTGAACTCTGGTCTTTGAGACTGCTACACAAGCATCCTACCAAACTGAGTTACATTCTCATCCTGTTGACTGGTTTTTGAGGCAGGGTCTCATGTATTGTAAGCTAGCCTTGAATGCATTGTGTAGCAGAGACTGCTCTTCAATCCTTGATCTTCCTGTGTCTCCACATTCCAAGTGCTGAAATAGAGAAGTGGGTCACCACACCAGCTCCAGTTTTATTAGTAATAGGAGTATCCTGAATGCTTTGGTTTCTTGTTTTGTTGGCCATGTATGGAATACTCTTTTTCTTTGGGCTCCCCCAGCAGTAGACATTATCTTTCAGTTTTTTCCAGTCAAGTGAAATTTTTTTAAATGGCCATCAGATTTGCATTTCCATGTCTACTTGTTAAGTAGTTGGATTACTCTCATCAGGGCCTTTACATAGTTTTTAGTCTGGAAATTTCTTTATCTATCATTGTCAAGAGCCCTTTGTATGTTTTGCCTGTAAACAATCCATTTTTCCTGACTTATTTTTCCAAATATATGTGTCTTTAGATGTTGTGATAGTTTATTTAATCCTGTAAAGTTCTTGACTTTTGTATACTAACATCTCTTGTCTTTTGTGGTTCCTGGGTCTTTAGTCCTTAGTAATGCTTATATTTGACAAAGAAACCAGGCTCAGGCCTGTAATCCCAGTACTGGGGAGGCTGAGGCAGGAGAATCCTAAATTCAAAACCAGGCTGCATTACATAGGAGCCCCTGACTCCAAAAGAAGGAGCATTATTTCCTTCACAGTCGTGTTCCGCCACCTCATGCTCCACTCCACACCAACAGCATGGCATCCATCCCAGAATGTTTTCACGTTTTCCTCTCTTCCCTGCTCACTCTTCTCAGTGGCAATCCCTGTACTTCTTTTACTTAGCTTCCTCCCTTAAGGTCAGGTCATTAACGGTTTTGTTTTGTTTTGTTTTGTTTAACAACTTAATGCCTAAAAGCCCACCACTTTATCTGTAAACTATGGGCATTTATCTGGATATGCAAGGACTGGGTCTTTCCTCATGGATCCCTCCAGGGAATCACTAAGCCTTTCTTAGCTGCCATTGATCTTTTGCCCTTCAAAACATGTCCTTTTTATCTTAGGAAGCTTCTGTTGTCTCCTGGCAGGCCATCTAGGTCTGCCTTCCTCTCCATTTTCCTCTGTCAGGTCTGCATCTCTGTATTCATTCATTCATATTCTCACTCATTCTCTCGCTCCCTCTCTCCCCCTCCCCTGCCCCTCCTCCCCTTCTCCCTCTTCCTCTCGTCCTATGAACACATATCTCTTCAGGAGATCCAAATGCTGATACACACACTTAGGATGCCACACCTGGCTCCATTTCAGTGCTAGCTGAATTATAGTGTGCTTCTGCAATATATGTAGGGAAAATGGTGGGACTTTTGTTTTGTTTTGTTTGTTTGTTTTAAATTGGAGTACCAAGAGGTTGCAGAGGCTGCAATTAAACCAGATGAAGATATAGACTATGTCATGTGTATATATGTTAGTTGTTCTGGGCAGGTAAAATCACTATGCTGAGCCGGGCAGTGGTGGCGCACGCCTTTAATCCCAGTACTCGGGAGGCAGAGCCAGGCGGATCTCTGTGAGTTCGAGGCCAGCCTGGGCTACCAAGTGAGTTCCAGGAAAGGCGCAAAGCTACACAGAGAAACCCTGTCTTGAAAAACCAAAAAAAAAAAAAAATCACTATGCTGGACTTAAGAAATGATGAGACCCATGCCTTAGTGAAGTTGTCTTGCATATGATTGAAAATATCATTACACTGTGTAATGTATAATCATCACACTTCATAAATATTTGCATTTCTGTTTCCTAAAGGAAGAATATATAATTGGCTGGAAAAATAATTTGTGGTTAAAATTCTTAGACAATTCCTCATTTTACTCAGAGTACTACAAAATGTTGGCTTTTCAGTTCAACTGGCAGGTGTCAAAATGGACATAATTATGGCGTTACTCCTTCTGCATACAATGTTACAGTGGAAGAAAAAAAGTCTTCCCTACTTAAGGAGTGATTTCGCTTTAATATTTTATGCCTGATTTTATTTTAGGGCCCAGGATTATTTCTTAGGTTGGTCATTGTTTCCCTGGCCAATAATTGTATTTGCTCCCAACAGTGAAGAGGCCAAGACAGGAAGATTGTGAACCAGCTTGGCTACCCTGTCTCAAAAAAATTGAGGATTTATGATCATACACAGAAAACAATTATTAGTAAGCCAGTTTACAAACAAAGAAAATGGATTTCTTTTGCGCACCTGGAATTGAAAAGCTGTTCCTCGGGGGTTATAGGCTTTAACACTAATCTTTGTTAATGTTCTGGAATGTTCCCCAGGAAATGAATGTTCCATAGAACAGATGGAACATGTCCGGGGAATGCAGGAGAAATTAGCTCGCTTGAACTTGGAGCTGTACGGGGAGTTAGAGGAGCTTCCCGAGGATAAGCGGAAAGCGGCCAGCGATGCCAACCTGGACAGACTTCTGTCTGACGTGAGTGGAGTGCTCTGTTGTCTAAAAACATCTTCCTGCAACAACACCCACATATCAGTAATCATATACATATACTGTATATATGTAATGTCATATATATCATTTATCATATACATATATATTCAGTGTTTGCAGTCATCCCCACTGTATAATTCTAGAACATTTTCTTTACCCCCTAAAGAAGCCTGTGTGTTAGTTTCTCCCCCCCACGCCCTAGCAACCCCTCATGTCCTTTCTCTCTCAATGAACTGGCCTCTGTGGCACTTATACACGGCATTGTGCACTGTGTGCCCTCATGGGGGTTCTCTTAGTTCTGTGTCCTCAAATTTCACCTCTGTTACACTTGACTCCCCTTAGAGAAATACAGTCTAAGAAATGCTTAAACTTAGATTTGTGGAAGCATGTATTATCATAATCCTGGTAAACTTCTGAAGGCACTACTTGCTTCTGTACATTTTTACATATGTGCCTGTATTCTGTAGAGACCTTGTCCATATGCAGATCCGAAGTCCATAGAAGACACCAGTCAGAAGACCTTTGCCTGCCTGGATGGTTTCTTATTTTTAAATATAGACCAGCGTTGGTCTTTACAGCAATTGAGAACATTTCCATCTGTCAGTCCAGAGCTACCGTAACAGAGCACCGCAGACTGGGGCTTAAACACTAGAAATTTATTTTCTCACAGTTCTGGGAGCTGGAGTTGGAGATCAAAGTGTTGTGTAAGGCTTCAGTTCTCCATGGTGGGTAGCCATCTTAATGCTCACGGAATTCTTCTCCTGTGCACATCTGTCCAGATTTCCTTTTCTTGTTAAGGTCCTGTTGGACTAGGGCCCACTCCACTGACCTCATTTTGCCTGGATTACCTCTTTAAGGCTCTGTCTCCAAATCCCCACATATTCTGCCATATTCTGACTGACAGCTAGAATGTATGAGTTGGGGATGGAGTGGGGCACTGCTCAGCCCATAACATCTTGTCAATTTGCCTCTTTAAAACCTTTTTTAGGGGGCTGAGAAGCTGACTCAGCGACTAAAAGTACTTGCTGCTCTTGCAGAGGACCCAGAGTCTGTCGCCAGCACCCACATGGCGGCCCTCGACCGTCTGTAGCTCCAGTTCCGGAGATCTGAAGCCCTCTTCTGGCCTCTGAGGGCACACCTCTGTGGTGCACATGCTTACATGTGGGCAAAACACTCATACCCGTAAAATAAAAATAAATAAATCTTTCCAGCCTTCTTTAGGGAGCTAGGGAGAGAGCTCAGTCAGCCAAGTCCTTGCTGCTCCAGCGTGAGGGCCTGAGTTCAGACCCTCAGTACCTGCAACCCCAGCCCTGGAGAGGTGGGGATGCAAAGATCTCTGGGCTTACTGGCCACCCATTCTTGCTGCATTTGTGAGCTCCAGGTTTGCTGAGAGATCCTGTCTCAGAAAACTAAGGTGGAGAACAATTGAGGAAGACACGAAACGTTGACCTCTGGCTTCCCCATGTGCAGATGCACACACTTGCACGTGTGTACACACCAAACCTTTGTAGAACAAAGGGAAATAAATAAAAACTGACTTCAGCGTATTTTAGCTTCGTTGTTCATAGCTTGTCATTGTTCACCAGTGACAAGAGTTTGTTTCTGCTGCTTTTCTTCACTCTTTTTTTTTTTTTTTTTTTAATAAGTGTGAGGCAACTGTCGAGACAGGGTTTCCTGGTGTAGTTCAGGCTTTCTTAGAACTCATTCTGTAGACCAGGCTGGCCTCAAACTCAGCCAACCTCCTCTGCCTCCTGAGTGCTGGGATTAAAGGCCTGCGCCACCTCCTCCTGGTGTCTGCCCATGCTCTCCAAGCTTTAAGCCTAGAAGATTAGCAGTGCATGCTTGTAATCCGAGCACTTGGGAATTGGATGAAGGAGGAACAGGAGTTCAAGGTTAGCCTCACGTACATGAGACCTCTCGCAGAAACAACAAAAATCCCTTCAAGCCTGTTCTTTTAAATGTCAAGTCTGCCATATAACATTCAGTGTCACAAGTTCATGCTTTGTGCTTTATTTCTATTAAATAGAAGCTTAATTTCTGCACTTTTGGTGCATTTAGGAAAATGCTGTATCTTGGCAAAAAGAACACTGAATTTGAAACCAGGAGGCATAGTGCAAGGCTCACATCAGTGTTCTTCTTGGTAACGGTGAACCTAGTTACCAAGTCTAGTTAACCTACCTACTTACCTTCTTTTCTTTTTGAAAATGTTTTTTTTTTTTTGTTTGTTTCTTTTTTCGAGACAGGGTTTCTCTGTGTAGCTTTGGAGCCTGTCCTGGATCTCACTTCGTAGACCAGGCTGGCCTCGAACTCACAGAGATCCGCCTGGCTCTGCCTCCCGAGTGCTGGGATTAAAGGCGTGCGCCACCACCGCCCGGCTCTGAAACTGTTTTGAGTTACTGGAGATTAAGCCCCGAGGGCCTCAGGAATGCAAGACAAGCACTCCACCACTAAGCTACAGATTCAGACAGCATTTCTATACTTTATATTTCCCCTTCTAAAGTTAAAGATAGTGTGGTCTGAATGTCTGTATCCTTCTAGAACTCATACTTTCATGTTCTTCCCCTGAAGGTGGTACACCAAGAGACAGGTCTTTGGAAGGTAATTAGGTCAAGAGTGAGATTTAGTATCCTGGGAAAAGAGGCTGGAAAGAGACACCCCACTGCTTCTGTTTTGTGAGGACATAGTACAAGATACTGTTGTTCTGTTAGCCAGACACAGGTTCTGTTGACTTCTTAATCTTGGATGGCTGGTCTCGAGAGCCTTCAGAAATGGGTTTCTTTTTTTCTACAAACCACTAATTTAATGATATTTTGTTAGAGACTCTTTCAAAAAGAAATAACAAACAGTAGAGATTACTGCCATTTTAGGTGATTCTAAGAATACTTGCAAAGCTCTAGTCTTCAGCATTTGCTTCTACTCTCTCTTAGGGTCTTCCATTCAGGCTGCAGCTACTTCATAGTTATTTTATAAAAAGGAATTTCCCAACCTAGAAAATTAAAAAAACAACTTTTTTTTCGATAATTTGTTCATTCAGTTAAAGAAAACCTACATGAAGCTATTTTAAAACATGGTTTACAGTGACCTACAAATATTTATCTTGTCAAAATTAATATTCAATTTGTTTCTTTGTGTTGCAGTTAGAAGAATTGAATTCTTCTATGTATCCTTTGCCTACTATCAACAGTGTAAAGTTCATAATCTGTAGTTCCGGGGAAATAATTCCTACCATATCTTATTTTACTACTAGGGCTTTGTGTCTTCCCTTTTACTTTCCAAATCAAATTGTTTCATTGTTTCACATGCTGAAATTCTGTGTCTGGTTTGTTCTTTGCCTTATATTGTTTTCTTATTTTTTCAAAAGAAATTTAATTATTACATTTCAAGTCATGAAAATTGTGTATTGGACTATAAGAATTATTTTGACTCTTAGATTCTGAGACTGCCTAGCAGATATCCAAAGTTATGCTTAATAGTATTACTTAAGGTGTATAAAATTGAAAGTCAGGTGCCACTAAAACACAACTTTCAAGGGCCCTTTCACGGATGTCGACATGGCATCTCCATGCCAAAGCTAGGGCAGTGTAGGAATACCTTGCAGGAAAACACCAAGTCACAGGTAGGTTATTTTGATTTTGATATTTCAGTCTGAAACAATGACTTAAGGAACTTTTCAAACTTTTTCTTTTAATGTATTTGTCAACATAATTGCTAATATACAAGAATAATAGGAAACAACCCTGCCTTCAACCTGCTTTCATATGAGAAGGTAACTTTCTTTAACATGATAATGGCATGAGATAGGACTTCTGAAATGTGGTTCACACTTCAGTAATGGGACATTTCACACGTCCTTTAACATCTCCAAGCGGCTTCTGTAATACTAGCTGCTTTGGGTAATGGTATATATGAGGAAATTTCTAAACTATGTAGAATATACAGACGTTAGAGTAGCAAGTCTGAATCCTGCTGTATCGTTTTATACTGTTACTAACTGCCCAGCCTTGGGTAATGGTATATATGAGGACATTTCTAAACTATATAGAATACACAGACATTAGAATAGCAAGTCTGAATCCTGCTGTATCATTTTATACTGTACTAACTGCTCAGCTGTGCAGTAACAACCATTAAGTCTGTGCTTTTGCTTTGAGCGTGGACATGACCATGAACTCCACTTGCCATTCTTAAGTAGGTGTCAGCTCTCACCACGTCTGCTCCCGTCCCTCCTTCCTTCTCTGTATGACACTGAAGGAAGGCACTTAGAACCTGGTTCTTCGGTGTTTTGATTTTATGTTCTGACTTGAGCTTCAGTATTCAATACGGAAGTCACGAGCTGTATAGCTATTGAGCTTACGACGGATTTATCTAGTCAGAATTAAAATAGGCTTTGACTGTAACAAGGACAGTGAATTTCAGACATGAAAAGAAACCCAAACATTTCAATTCTGATTGCATGTTGAAAGCATTGCTGCTGTGACTTTATTTGGTTATTTTGAGACAAGGTCTCCATGAGATACCCCCCAGGCTGGCCTCCATCCTAAGATACCCCTGCCTGTGCCTTTTGAGTGCTGGAGTTGCAGGAGTGCATGTTCCACCATGCCTGATTTGAATTTTAAAAGAATTATATCTGGATAGAGCCAGCAGGATGGTGCTTGTTAGTAGCCTGGGGACCTGAGTCTTACCATGACCCAGGTAAGACTAAGGGAGAGAATGGGCTCCACAAATCTGACCTTTGAGCTCCACACACACCATGGCATGGCCAAATACACAATACATTAAAAATTTAAATTGAAATATATCTGAGTAAATACACATTTAAATTAATGTCACCTATTTTTCCTTTTAACTCAGTGTTAGAACCTTAAAAACTGTATTTGTAGGTTACATTATATATTTCTCTAGACTTCAGACATTGCCAATCAATTAATCTTCTTAAAACGTCACTTTTTTCTCTTCAATTCTTGTTTTGTTTTGCTTTTCAATCCGGATCCCCTTCTACAACCCAGGCTGGCCTAGCACTCACTGTGTGGTGCAGCCTGGCCTTAAACTTGCAGCAATCCTTCTGCCTCACTCCCCCTACTGCTGGTTTCATGCATTGGCTCTTGCCAATGCTTTTTTATTGTTATTCTTTACCACTGTCAACTTTTTTACAGGCTTTTTCCAGGCGATCACAGTACATACATCACATTAGAGTAGTTGTTCCCGCTGAGCTGTGTCCTTCGATGTCTCAGAGCACATCATGTTCATTCGTACCAGGGTGTCCTTTGTTGAGCCTGCAGTTCTGATGCAGACACACTCTAGCCTTTTCCCCTCCTCTCTGTCAGACAGGTGACATTCATGCTGACTGGCCACTCCCGTCCAACGCTCGGTTTGTACCTGGAAGCTAGCAGTCTGCCTTCCTTCACTGTCGGGTGGTTTTTCTGTGTTAAATCTCAAACCTCCCCACTAGCCAGGAGTACTTTGGATGGCCATGCCTTTGTCTGTGTGCTGTTGCGACCTCTCCATATATGCTGCCGACTCGGAGCTGTCCTTAGTGTCTCCACTGTTTGAACTGGGCAACAGGTAAACAGTTTAGGACTAAGGAAAATGAAAGGTAGTTGTGAGAAGGGGCAAGGACACATGCAGAAATTCTGTTTTAGTCAGTTTTCTTGAAGGATGATTAAGATTATATAAAAGGTTACAGAGTTGTGATAATTTTTTCAGGTTTGGCTTTATAAGGAAATTGTTTCCCCAAACATGGTAAAATGGCATCTTCGAGGATTGTCTTAAGTTGGTTAGACTTTTAATGTTTCATTTTCACTGGTTCCTTATCATGAAAATGCTTCTTGCTGCATTAAAAATGAGCCCGGACAGACATGATGCTATACTCCCATGACTCCAGCACTGGAAGTTGAGGCAGGAGGATCTGGCATTTGAGACTGCATAACTAGATCCTAAATAAATGTTTTTAAGCTTCGAATTATACACATGGCGTTGTTCTCTGCATTGAGTCACTGTCCAAACTTGTTGGAAACAGGACAGCTTTCCCTTTAAGCCTCCCCTGCTCTCCCTCCCTCCCTCCTTCCCTTATCCCATTTCTTCTGTTTCCCGGGTACTGAGTGGAAATTTCTGAAATTTAAAGAAGTACTCACTTTAAAATGAAAACCTTCTTAACTGGTGACTCCAGACAGAAGCTGCATTTGGCAGACGCGCAGGATGTTCCCAATCCGTCCACCAGCTAACGCGGCGTGCAGCCTGCTCTGGGGGATTCGCAGAGGAGCAGCAGCCATTGCTTTCCCAGCCGAGCCCAGTAGCAGAATCATCTTCCACAACAACATTCACGTGCTGAGAGCCAAGTGCAGTGATTGTGTTCACACGCCCGCCCGCCCGCCGCTTCTAGTCCATGTGCTTGCTGTAATCCACCGCTGGGGAGGGCGTGGCCTGGCTGCAGGTCGATCCGGAAGTGGGATGCAGTGGGGTGCGGAGTTGTGCTGCTGAGTTTTCTTCTGTTGCCTTAAGGTTATACTTGAAATGCTCTGTGCTAAACATTCGGTGGGGCTGAAGGGTGTGTCCTGCGATCACCACACCGAGCGAGTTCTGGTCACCCGGTGGTGGTGCACAGGCCTCCTGTGGCAGCCCAGCTTCAGTTTACGTCAGACAATCAGTACACACGCAGGTGTGTTTCCCAATGGCCAGTGACAAATGTTTAATAAGTATTTGTGAGATTCGCTATTTTTAATAAAGTGATTGTTTTAAATGATGGTCTCTGTTGTCTGTTTGGAAGACCCAGTAGTCTTCAGTCTGGAAACAAGGATACAATCCTCTAAAGTAAACTGCATGTATAATATGATTTTGTGCCATCTCTGCGAATTCTGTACGTTTTGCGTATTTAAATACTGTTTCAGGAAAGTACATGGCTTTAGAGCTAGAGCTTGATTTGGATCCCCATTCTTCCCCTTGGCTTTCTAACATGTGTTTACTCGGGTTGAGTTCAACTTTCGTTTCCAATGTAGCATGCGAGGATTTCCCAGCTGGTAGTGGTTGCCCGAGGCTAATAGTGCATGAAAGCCGCCTAGCCTGAGGCTGATGCCAGGGAGGCTCGGTAGATACAGCCTCACTAGCTTTCCCTCCTCTGTCTCAGTGATGCGGACTCAGGAGTGATACTAGGCAAACCCTGTCACTGACCTGCACCGGCCACTCTTTTTCAAAAAATGTTTTAAAAACTTGACAGTTTCATGTATGCATATTGTGTCTTGATTATGCCACCCCCAGCTCCCTCCTTCCACTCCTCCCGAACCCCTTAGTACTTCCCCACCTTCAAGTCCTCGTTAAATTTTATTTTTATGACTCACTGGGTCCAGTTAGTGCTTCCTATACATGTATGGATGTGTATCCATGGGCAGCCTAGAAGCAGCCACACCCCCAAAGGAAAATGAGTCCCGCTCCCCCAACAGCCATGGATTGAGAGCAGCTCTTCAGCTGTGGGTGATTCCCCCTGAGCTCCTCTCTCGTCCATGGGGAAGATTGACTGGCTTGATCTTACAGGTAACCCTAGTGCAGCGAGCTCATTAGTACAGTCGCCGTGTCATGTCTGGAAGAGAGCCTTTCACAGCATCCCTCCCATCCTCAGGTGTCTTTCTTACGGCTGCTCTTTCCGTGATGTTCCCTGAGCCTTGGGGGACTCGATAATAAATGGCTTATTTAGGACTGAGTACTCAATGTCACGTACTCTCAACATTTTAATCAGTTATGAGGTTGTTGCCCATTACAGAACAAAGCTCTGGCCAGGGTTTGAGCAGCACTAATCTCTGAATGTAAACATTTAGAAAGCAATTTGACAACAATAATCAGTACTCCCCTAGGACCCAGAACCTCTTCAGCCATGGACTTTTGACCAGATTTACAGCACTAGACTTGAATTCCTTCCTTTGGAGCAGGCCTCGAATCCAACCCCAAAATGTTTGGTAACCCCATAATAGTCATGCCATTACTGCTCAGGTAGGCACGTCTTGCTTGGCAGGGTAGTAGTATAGTACGTAGTCTGTTGATGACCTTTCTTTCCCAGCAGGCTATAAAATACCATCGATCACTATAACAATTAGCTTGCAGGAAGGAAGTTTCCAGGTCAGTTTCAACCTAATTTCTTTTTTTAGTTTTTCAAGAAAGGGTTTCTCTGTGTAGTTTTGGTGCCTGTTCTGGATCTCGCTCTGCAGACCAGGCTGGCCTTGAACTCTCAGAGATCCGCCTGGCACTACCTTCCGAGTGCTGGGATTAAAGGCGAGCACTGCTGCCAGCCTCAACCTAATTTCTTTACGCATTCTTCAATTGTGTTTTATTTATTTATTTATTTATTTATTTTTGCTATGGTGGACAACCAAGAACAGTGATGATGACTTGTATTATTTGGGGTGCCTCCGTGTCCTTTCTGACCAGTTACTCATAGGGAGGTATCTCATACATTGGGGTTTTCATTTAAAAACTCTGTCTTCTGGAGAAACATTGCCCATTAATTAAAGATACCTCTGTTCAAACTCCTTTTTAAAATGTTTTAAAATTAGTTTACAAAGCGTAAGGTGTTGTAGAACATTATTTTCAGGTGTGTAACTTTTGTTTATGTTGCATTTGTTTAACTCTGTGAAGCTGTGTTACTGTGCCTGTGTAAAACACCTGATGGTCTAATAAAGAGCTGAACGGCCAATAGTGAGGCAGGAAAAAGGATAGGTGGGGCTGGCAGGCAGAGAGGATAAATAGAAGGAGAACTCTGGGAGGGAAAAAGATCAAGGAAAGGGAGAGAAGAAGGAGCCAGCCACCCAGCTACACTCTAAACACAGAGTAAGAGAAAGATACACAGAAGTAAAAGAATGGGAAAAGTCCAGAGGCAAAAGGTAGACAGGATAATTTAAGTTAAGGAAAGCTGGCAAGAAGCAAGCCAAGCTAAGGCTGGGCATTCATAATTAAGAATAAGCCTCCATGTGTGATTTATTTGGGAGCTGGGTGGCGGGGCCCCCTAAAAGACCAAAAACAAGGCCTTTTTATACATCCTTAGTGTTTTTGACTCACCCGCACACCACAAGCCTCATTCCTGCTTAAACACACATACTCTCCTCTCTCTCTCTCTCTCTCTCTCTCTCTCTCTCTCTCTCTCTCTCTCACACACACACACACACACACACACACACACACACACACATCCTTACCACATTTGTTTTGTGCACTTACTCCGTTAAGGCCTCCCGGCCCTATATGCTATTTCTAGCTTCCTGATCTCAAGTAAAACACACACATCTAAAAATTTGAAGCTGAGATCCTCACATGAGAGAAAGAGAGAGAGGCATTTGTCCTTCTAGGCCTGGGTTACCTCTGTAACCATATTCTTGGTTACATATTCTTCAGTTCCATCTATTTTCTAGAAAACGTCAGAATTTCCTTTTCCTGACATCTACACAAACTGCCACTTGTGTGTGTCTAGGCTGCTTTCATGCCCTAGCTGCGATCAGCTGAGCCCCAGGGATCCCTGTGGTAGGCTGTTGAATCCTTTGGGTATATGCCCAGAAGTGGTACAGTTGGGTCATATGATAGTTCTAACTTAAGCTTTTGGAGACACCTCTACACAGAGATCCATAGTGGCTGCACCAGTTTACAGTCCCACCAACAACCCGTACTCTTCCTCAGCATGGTCCTGATGACGGCCATTCTGGCTAAGGTAAGATATAATCTCAATTTTAATTTACATTTCCTCGATGCCTGGCCGCCCTTTTAACACAGGTGTTGTAAAAATCACATTTTTAAAATGAATTACAGAACCTGCTTTGGAGCAAACTGTTTTAACTTCGTTGTGTGCCTCCTTTCAGACTTCATACTTGGGTTTTGTTTAGCCCCACTATTCACAGGATTTTTAACTTTCCCATACTTGCTGCATTGTGAAATCTGCCCATGTTAAGTACAAAAGAGGTGTTAGAGTGAGGTGTCACAATAAACGAGGACATTTTCATCAAAGCAGTTAGAAACATGTTGGTGTTCATGTATCTTTCTAATGTCTGTATAACTAATTACTGGTTACAAAGAAAAAAAACTCTTTAAAATTTCCTGAGGATTTGCTAAAGTTGAACATGAGAAAGGCTAAGAAACGCCACCTTTCCCAGCACAGGACTTGAAAGTTGCTGCCTTACGTAAAGCTGAGCAAACTTCGCTTCAGCGTCTAAGCCTTTCTTGGCAGACAGCAGCTTTGTGTCAGTCACCTCTTCCCAGCGACTTGGTGAGACCCTCGAGATCCGGCAGCAACTGCCTCCCGCCGCCGGCAAAAGAAACCCACCCAGAACCTGAGTCCAGAAAACCCAGGGAAGGAAACTGGGGTCTGAGAGTCCTCCTGCAGCAAAGACCGAGGTTGGCCACTGGAGCGCGGCACTGAGCAGGGACACAGGACCTGTGGGGCGTGGTGGCGGGCCTGTGTTGTCATCCCTATGGAGATGGGGCTCTCCCTGCCCCACCTGCCACCCCAGGCTGGGATCTGGAGAACTGCCTCTCCTTTTCCCTGCACAGTGCCAAGAGGAGTCTGCCGCCACCGAGCTCAGCCCCTTGGCCACTTCCTGGAGGTAAAGCCCCTGCCTTCTTGGCGATGTCTTTTCCTTGGGGCCTCTGGAAAAACCTTGAGTATCTCCCCGTGACCTTGGAGGCCCCTGGCAGGGTCAGGTTTGAGTGGGGCTGTGGCAACTAAAGTCTTCCCTCCTCCAGAACACTCCTGGGTTAGAAGTAAGTGCTCCCGCACTTTGGAAAACACTGGTTTTTTGCAGGACTCCAGATTGGCTCAGGCTAGCTCTACCCCTCTGGCTGTGTATCATCATCTTCTATTTACTCCTCTGGAGTCCAAAGACGTGGGAAGGGGCTGTAGGGCTAATAAAGATGAAACGAAGACTCTACGGTGACTAGTTTGTGATTCTGATATTTCATATGCTAGGATTTCATGAATAAGGTGAATAAATACAACATATTGCTAAGTGTTTACCTTTTGAGAAGTACTGGTGGTTGTGCTTATTAATAAACATTGCTCTAAGTATCCGAACAGTTTCCTGACACCGTCTGTATTCGAGTTGACGCAATTCAAGCAGTGGTTTGCACATCCCGCCTATGGCAGTCTGTTCTCAGAAATTTGACTCGGGGGTTGCTCAGGAGCCTAGGAAATTGTGTTCTGAAAACACTAATTTCAGAGGGAGAGAAACAGGAGTGGAGGAGGTTTAAAAAAAAATTAGGGCAGCAGTCATGCATTATTTTTCTTGAATGAATTTAAATAGTGCAGTTACTTCTTGCTTTGATTTTGTAACTTTAAATCATTAAGCATATCTAGCATTTAAAAATATCAGCACAGCCGGGCGGTGGTGGCGCACGCCTTTAATCCCAGCACTCGGGAGGCAGAGCCAGGTGGATCTCTGTGAGTTCAAGGCCAGCCTGGTCTCCAAAGCGAGTTCCAGGAAAGGCGCAAAGCTACACAGAGAAACCCTGTCTCGAAAAACCAAAAAAAAAAAAAAAAAAAAAAAAAAAAAAAAAAAAAAATCAGCACAAGTACCATTTTTCCTTAATTTTTCCGTGTGTCTGTGTGTGAGTGTGTCTCTTTGTGTCTTTGTGTGTGTGTGTACGCATGCGCATCAGGATCTAAAGTAGCTCAGGCTGCCCTCCAACTCACTGTGTAGCCATGGATGACTTTTAACTCCTGATCTACTTGCCTCTACCTCCCGGAACTGTGTGTGACACATGTGTGACACCACACCAGTTTATATGGTGCTAAGGATGGAACCCAGGGTTTCATGCATGCTGAGCAAGCATTCGACCTACTGAACGATAACCCAGGTATTATCATGTTTTCTATACGCAATGGTGCTTCGAGGCACAGATTTCTTCAGGACACGCCTTCACTCCATGACCTATTATTTTCTTGCATATTTAATATAAATGTGCGTACTGGTTTGTGTTCATATTAAATCATGCTCTAAACGCAGGTAAATGGACTTAACTGGATTGTCTTTCTCTTCCGGTTTTTCTCTGGTTACCCTCACATTTTTGTGTGTTGAAGCTCCTCACTGTAGTCTGGAGACAACCTTTTTTAGAGGCGTTTCAGACACTAAATGAAGCACCTTCTGATTTGCATGTATAAGCTGTAAACTGCCAAATGCAATCGCCTCTTTGCCAAGGAATAACATTTAAAAAAAATGATTGTATGGGAAGGGTGTGGTGGCACACCCCTTTAATCTCAGCACTTGGGAGGTAGAGGCAGGCTGATATCTTTGAGTTTGAGGCTAGCCTGGTCTCTGTAGTGAGTTCCAGGACAGCCAGGGTTACGTATGGACACTCTGTCTCAAAACAACAACAAAAATGTGTGTGTGCGCGCGTGTGTGCGCGTGCGCGTGCACTAGGATGCCCACAGAGTCCAGAAGAGAGCTGGAGTTAGAAGTGAGACACCCCATGTGGGTGCTGGGAACTGAACTGCACAGGTGTTGCAAACACTTCAAACAGCTGAGCCATCTTCCCACCCCCAACAAACCCATTTTGTCTGTGATATTCTCAGATGTGCCCCTGTAGTAGAGCAGGACCGGCCTGTTCTGCATTTTTCCAGTTACAAAACAGATCGCTCAGGGAAACAGTTAACTGATGACACAGTTTTCTGGTTTATTCCAGTGAGGTAGCTCTTTCTGTAGACTGGCTGCTGCCCAGCCAGTTCATTTCTTAATCCGGATTGGATTGTTCCAAGAAAATACAGCAAAACAAGACAAACCCAGCAGCTTTTCCTCTCTGCTCTGGTCACCAAAATGGGAGACATCTCTCTACCAGTCCTCCAGTGGCTCCCCACAAGGCTCTTACTATCAGGTCCACTCCTGACACTTGGAGTTAGCTCACAGACTATGCTAACCAGCTTCCTGTCACTGTAACACCTATCCGAGACAACTTGTAAAAAACAGGTTTATTTGGGCCCACAGCTTTGAAGGTTTCAGTCCCTGAAGTTAGTCCTGCTGCTTTGGGCCTTTGGTGAAGAGCATACCATGGTGTGTGTGTGTGTGTGTGTGTGTGTGTGTGTGTGTGTGTGTGTGTGTGTGTGTGTGTGTGTGGTGAAATAGAAAAGAGAATGGAGAAAATAAGGGAACTAAGGTCCCATAATCTCCCTCAGTGATTTGCCGCCAATGACCTAAAGACCTCCCGTGAGTCTGTACCTCAGAAAAGCCTTTAAGCACAGCCACTCTGGGTGCCATGCCTTCAACACATGGGCCTTTGGGAGGGACCCTCAAGATCCAATGACAGCAGATGCCAATCACAACTCCCAGGTTAGGTCTACAGACCTTAGAGAAGGGCTCAGAGATGGCTCAGTACCACCTGCATGTGCTCGGAAGGGACTTTTTCCTGGGTGCAGCTTTAGATGACGAATCTTTAGTTGATACTTGGACTGAAAGGCCCTGAACTGGAGGCCTGCCTAAGCTGCACCTGGACTCCTAACTCATAGACACTGGGAGGTAATCAGTGTTTGTTACAGTAAGCCACTGACTGGGAAATAATCTGCTGGAATTAGATAAACACCGTGATAATTGCATCAGATAGTACACACGCTGGTGAGTGCTGGGTCACAGTGAATGAGGGAAAATGCTATATATTATTTCTTCCTCTAACAGACTCACTGTAATGAGAGCACGTCAAAGCTTCCAAAGCATTGTGCAATGAAAGAAACAAACGTTAAGCTCTAGTCAATTATGATTTCCTAATTATATTTAAATACGGATTCTGCTTCTGAAGAAACACCTACTAATACCTTGTAAAACTACTCTTTGGGTGATTATAAAATACTGGGACAAGAAAAGAAATCGTTTGGGAGGGGGAGGCAGGAAAACTGCTAGGAGTCTGGGGCTAGCCTGGCCTGCAGAGTGAGACATTGTCTCCAAAAAGGTCAAGACATCTTGCGTTAAGGAAGGAGTGACTGGCATGCCGTCCATCTCTCCCTGGTTGAATAGCTAGTTAGGAAAACTGACGTTTTACTTTCTGAGATGGGGTCTCCAGTATCCCAGGCTGGCCTTGAACTCACTATGCAGTGGAAAATGAGTGACCTTGAACTTTTCAACATCCACTTCTACCTCCCCAAGTACAAGGATTACAGGCATGTTACTACAGCACTTGATTCTATTGTGCTGAGGTTCAAAGCCAGTGTTTCAAGGGTAGCAGGCAAGCCCTCTCCCAACTGAGCCCAAACTGACATTTCAGATAATGAAAATAGTATTGTGTAAACTTGCACACACCGCACACACGCACAGACACACACACACAGGCACATACACATAGACACACAGAAACACACACACACAGACACATACACAGACACACTACATAGACACACCACACACACACACACACACCCACACACCCACACACCCACCCACACACACCCACACACACACACACACACACACACACACACCCACACACACACACACACACACACACCCACACACACACACACCCACACCCACACACCACACACACACACACACACACACACACACACACACACACACACACCCACACCCACACACACACACCCACACACACACACACACACACACACCACACACACCCACACACACACACACACACACACACACACACACACACACACACACACACACGATCATGTATTTAAGCCCAGCAGCAGAAACAAGACCTATTCTGTTGTGTTCGGCTCATTACAAAAGTCAGTGATCTCTCCTCACGGAGGAGAGCAACAATTCTGAGAAACTTGCTAAAATCCAATTCTCTTCCGCTGGCTCCTCGAGTGATTTTACATAAAAACAGCCAAATATCTTATAACACCTTAGTGTCATAGGCTTTGTTTTGATTTAGTGATCACAAGGAGATATTTAATTCCCCACATTGCCCTGAGGGTTTTGTTGTTGTTGTTGTTGTGTGTGTGGGTTTTTTTTTATGGTTTTTGGAGACAGGGTTTCTCTGTGTAGCTTTGCGCCTTTCCTGGATCTCCCTCTGTAGCCCAGGCTGGCCTCGAACTCACAGAGATCCGCCTGCCTCCGCCTCCTGAGTGCTGGGATAAAAGGCGTGCGCCACCACCACCCGGCGCCCTGAGGTTTTTAATCTGAACAACACATCATTATTGTTTGTCGGGACACACTACTACTGCCTTGCATGACTGCATGGATTCAAATGTGGTGTTCAGTGTGTGTCATGCTACTCTCCTGGAACATTCCCAAAACTGTTGCCAAGACTGTCTGTGTCTTTGAAATGTGCCTTTCTCATCGGATTGTATGGCAAGGAGGCAGTACATATGTAAATGCTTGTCTCGGGTCTTTTCCTCAGTGACTTGCTCACTTGGAATTTATAGCACCCAAGGGCTGCTAGAAACATCTAAATTGCTTGCATGTCAGCTAGACTATCACTGACATGTGGCAACCCAACTTGAGCTTTGGGTTATCTAGGAACAGACCTAAGAGGCAACTAGAGCTGCTGAATGACCTTTTTGCATGTGTTGAGAGAAAGAGAGAGAGAGAGAGAGAGAGAGGAGAGAGAGAGAGAGAGAGAATATATGTGTCCTCTGGGTTGAGCCATCTCAGCT